AGCTATTCAATTATTCTCTAAATTGGCTGCAAAAATTTGCTGATAACTTCAGCGATCTGAGGCGGTGCCTTGTCTTGCTGGAAAAATATTTTTGTTTTCGAGATCTATTAGGGGCATTATCATCAAGCTTTGGAACACTTACCAAAGCCTACTAGTTAAAAGTGGTGAATTCTGTATTTAGAAGGAGACTAAAACAAAATATCAAATGTGCCATATTTTTGGAAAGGTAATTTTAAGGTCTTTTCATTTAATTAAAAATATACAGGGTGTCCTAAATAAAAAAAATCAACTTTTCTGTTGATAACCCGTAAATTATTGATTTAAAAAATATACTTAAACCATTAAATTTTACCTAAAAAGATGCTTTGGAAATGTTTTTAAAAAATACAAAATTTTCCATAGTAAAAAAGTTACAGCAATTTTTTCTCGGGATGGTGAAAACCGCACATCGATATCTGTTACCGTTTATGAGAATTAATTCATTAATTTAATTAATTATTATTTTTTACCATTTTCAAATATATGCATTTTTAACAAATTGCTGTAACTTTTTTGTTATGGAAAATTTTGTATTTTTGAAAAATATTTTCAAATCACCTTTTTACATAGAATTTAATGGTTTAAGTATAATTTTTTTAAAATTAATAATTTAGGGTTATCAACAGAAAAAAAATATTTTTTTATATGGAACACCATGTATATTTTTAATTTCTAATTAAGCAAACTTAAAATTACATTTTCAAAACTATAGCACACTTGATATTTTATTATAGTCCGCTTCGAAATACAGAATTTTTAAAAATTCGCCACTTTTAACTAGTAGGCTTTGGATCCCTGGACTACTTGCCTTATGGTGACCGTACGGGGGACAATGATACTCACTGTTACCCAACAAGCATTGAACTAAATAATATATTGTTATTATATTTTCCCACCATAACTACAATCACAACTGTCTAACAAACGCGTAACGCTAGTTACAGCAGAAAATACTCGTTGATTGTACATTTTTTCTTTTTGCCAGGACGCCGAAATGTTCAATTGCATTTTTATTTGAATTTTATTAGTTTCAAGTCTTCAAATTTGGTTTGTTCTTAGTTTTTATCATAAAGTACCTATGCTACGCGCGTATTTACCCATATTTTTGATGATCGGGTCTATTCAATAAAATAGATATTATATTAATTTATAAATAATATACAAACGCTAAGCTACTTACTGTAATGGCAATAATGGCACACGCATATCAAAGGTAAATATTATCTTTCCAAAAAATACTACATTAAATATCATCTTCCAAATGGACTATTTATACAATCTTCAATACGGCAGAATTCATTTTTCATTAAATTGGCAATACTGAATGATTACTAAAAATTAATTGCAATTTTTATTATAACTTTTGATGTGCCATTGGAACTAAAATAGAATATTATATACTCAGTTGTCGATTAATAGAATATGATGTTGGCTTTATACAAATCTGTAATATTCGAGTTTTTATCTTTATAAGAGGAAAATTCACGGTTTATTTAATATAGTGCTGTGCATTGGTGGATGTACGAAATTTGTGGATTTACGTGCACTTATTGAGGAACTATTTAATAAATAAAACCACACACATATAACCGAAAAAAAACGTCGTCAAAGACAGCTGGGGAATGACAATCAATGATTATTTTAGCGAGTTCAAGCCCTAAACATCATTTACTTGATCCGTAGTCTTCTATATTTTGTAAAAGCGCTTTTTATAATAGCCCAGTTAGCCTTTATTATTAAAAGGTTATAATTTGCTTTTATTTCAGTAAAAATTATTTTTAAATGGGGAAGTTTAAAATTCGGGAACATAAACAAAAGGTTATCACACACAAACAAATTATGCTTTAAAGGAAAATAGTTCTATATGGGTATTTCGCCACTGCAAGAAAACTAGCAGCTATTAAATTGAAGAATTTGAAAGACATGTTTGAAAAAGTGTAGTTTGAAATGTTAAAAAATATTAAATTAAATCTTAATAATTAATTTGATTCACTTTCACAAAATTTGTATTAAAATTACCGTCTGTCCGTCTGCCCCTCTGTATATACAGGTATTAGATTAAATTTACAAGAAAGAAAATCCAGAAAAGATCCAGTGGTTTTCAAAATTTTAGAAAAAAATATATTTTTTTTTTAAATTTTCGAAGTATAATAACTCAGTTATATTTGACTTATTTGAAAAACGATAAAGAGAAAATATGTTTCTTTTATCGAGATCTACCACCCCTTAAAATACTTGCATTTATTTCTGGGACACCCTGTATATGCTGTCCTTGCCAATTTTCGTATCGCGTCACGGCTTCGAATGTAAATATATTTCAATGATTATTAGTTAATATTTTGTAATATTCGCTGAAATTACACGTCAATATTTTCTAGGTTATCAAAGCCAAATACAAAAAGCATCAAATTATGCTCGACTGCAACCTAATTTCTAAGTTACCATTGAAAGAGGGATTTTACTATATTTTTTGTAGTAACAAGTGCCCCGCAAATTGCTTCAACTTGCAGTAACAAAAGAAAGCGGCCTTTAATAAAAACCAACACATGTTTCCTTGTCTAATTTCGACAACACAAAGAAATAGAATGGTGTGCAGTATTTTTATCCAGCTTTACTCCATTTCTTTGCAATTCTCTTTTCTTACCTTGGAGGTTTCTGTTATTGCTATTGTGCTAAATTGCACTTGTATTTTTTTTAAATTAACGTTCGGATTCGTATTATTTTTATACTAATTTTGTTACCTTTTTCAATTTTAAATTGTCATTACAATAAAACATTAATCTACAATTTGTCTATTTGTTGCAATCTATTTGTAAAAAATATAAAATATTTCACTTAAATTTAAACATTTATTGTTTTGAGCTTTCGTTATTGGCTGAGCTTTCGTTAGAAGTTTCTTCTTCTTCTTCGTCGTCTCTTCATGTCTGAAGAATCGTGACATTATGGCTATGTGCAGCTGGTGATTTTGATCTTCCATCGTTGGCGATCTTCCGCTTCTCGGAGATTTGATTGAAATGGATGACCTGTAATATTTGCTATTTGGTCAAGCCATCTCGATGGTGATCGTCCTCTGGGTCTTCGGCCTTCTACTTTGCCTTAGTGATGGGTTGTTATTTAACTATCTGTTATTTTATAACAATTATTTATAAATAACATAACGCAACCGTTACTACTTCTAAAAAATAACAGATATAAAATAACGACACGTAGAGATCGGCCGCTCGTGGAACGAAAAACGAAGTCGGCGCTCTGCACCGTCACGAAATTCTACGCTGCTCGAAGCAATTCCAAAAGACAACTAGTATGGATGGAAAACATGTTATTTCGTCAACCATCTATACAACCGGTGAGACAACGGAGTGGGGAATGCGCTACGAATGCGAATACGAAGTATACCAAAAAACAAAATAACTAAACATAAGACAATTAGTAAAATATCATAATATATTACTTCTACACAAAATCAAAAATAAATTAATAAAACAAATATTTATTTAAAAACTAACAAACAAATACACACTTAGGAAACTAGATGAAAATAAGACATCGGAACAGCCAAGAGGACTCAAAAAAACTTTCACAAAAACTAACAACAGCAAGTACCACAATATATAATATGTTACCAAAAGAATTAACACAATTAAATTATAAAAATTTCAAGGAAAAACTTAAAAACATGATATTTGAGAAGAGGGTATAAACGTAGACGATATAGACCAATTTTTAAAAAAAAAGAGCAATACCTTCGATACCGCCTGTCCAGAGAAAGTCTTGAAACTGTTGCAGATGAAGAAGGACGGAACCAACAATTGCTACGAAGATAAAGCTTACTAAATAAGTCATAGGTACAATTAAATTTTAACTTGCAATTGCTTATTTCAATTTATTCTAAATATACTAACAACAACAACAAACAACGCTTTATTGTGCAAAAAGCCAAAATATCTTCATCAACAAAGCACTCACAAAACAAACAAAACACAACAAAGTATACAAAAAAATACAATACAACTCATACAATTCAAAAAAAATTAAGTCATTAAATAAGCAAGGTTTAGTACACTCTTTATAATATAGAGAAGTCTAATAGGCCCTCTAGCTAATTTAGGGAGTTCTGACAATGTACTACAATGTTAATATATTATATGTGTTAGTAAATGTTTTTTAGTATAGGCTATATATTATATTTCCTTTTGTGTCATTACTTAATACCTTACCCTTCTAAAGATATATTAATGTAAACAAGGTAGACTTCAACAAGATAAATATAAATTTTAATTAATACCAGTAAACTAGTCTCTTATTATTAATTAAATTGTAGACCCATTTACCTCGTAATTTTTGTTTAAACCATCTAGTCAGTGAAATTAGTACTATTCGGCAAGAGGTTGATTTTCTATATTTTTTTTGAATGTAAGTTATCCACCTTCAATCAAATATTATAAAGAATAAGAATTTTGAAAAACTTATAACAGATAAAAATAAACGTTTTTTTAGCATATATTAATAATTTCTTTTTAAAGATTTCAGTTAAAGTCTCCTTTTTGCTGTCAGGGCTAATCTGGATGGGGTTAGGTTAGGTTAGGTTAGGTCTACTTTGTTTATGCGGAATCCGAACCGCGATCCTCGGCCATATCATGGTCAAAGGTCTACCGACTTAGGAAGTGTCTAAATCAACTCTTACTCACGAGATATCCGATCTCATCCGGCCTCAAACGGGCGTAAATGAACAGTGTGTATCAATAGATTTTACACTTTTCCCTTGAACAACAGCATTATACAGAGTTTCGAACCGGTCACTCGTCCATCCACCAGTATCGCCTTACGTCGCTTAGCTTCGGTGTTCTAATGGATACAGGTGTTTCATCGTAGCTAGACTGTTGCTAAACATCAATCGGTGTAGCAAAAAATAAAAAGTTTTCCCCAAAACAACTAAATCTAATATATTTTTTTTGTTTCAGTCAACAGAACCGGTACCGTTCGCAAATTCCATTTTATCTAATGCCTATCTTACAGCGCTATTTGGTGCTGTAGCTGTACTAGCTATATACCATTTTTGGTTTCAATCCTTACGCTATGTTAAGTTGGCAAGTAAAATACCTGGACCGACGCCTCTACCAGTCGTGGGTAATATATTTATTGCCCTCGGACTTTCACCAAATGGTAAGTTTAGAAAAATTTACAGTTTTTTACTTGTATGTATATTTTATTTTTCTTCCGAACTATACAGCTGCTTGCTACTTCCCTTTGGTAGTATTTAGGATGTTTTTTACAATTGCTACACCCAGTAAATGCAAAAATATTTTATTGATATTTTGGGAAGTTTAGATAAATGGGAATAATATAAACGATGTCGCGTTCTGATACCATTCTTGAGAGAATCAACCGAGAAAATATTATAAATATAGCTAAGCATATACTGGGTGTTGCAGTTTCTATATTACACACTCGATCACACATTATATTTTAAGTAATAAAAATAGAGAACTATTGTTTATGCCAGTGTACAATAATACAACTAAAAAACTACTACAAATAAAAAATATAAATAAACTTTTAGTCACGTGATTCTGACGTGATTAAGCTTGACGGCACAGCGTTGCACTTTTACATATTTTCTTTCAAACAAAATATTTTAAGAAGCAAAAATAAATTAATTATAAATATGTAAACAGTTATTATTTACATCAGCAAAACTCACCTCTTTAGCAGCGCTTAAGGTACGTAAAGGGCCATTGCTACCGCTTCCCCGTTCAACATAATATTCTAATAAGTTTACGATGATTTTCTTGCTACGGCTATTAAGCTATCTTGTATTACTTTGCTGTGTGCAAAGTACATACAGAACATCTTTTAGTAAGAGGTTCAAAAAGAACAATGTTCGACTGCAAGGTCTGTTAGTAATTTTTTTTAAGCTTAATGTATAACGAGATGTATCACAACACAATTCATTTAAACAAACAAAACTTGTGAATTAAACAAAAACAAACAAAACAAAACTAAAGGGAATCCCCAGCGGGAAATTTAGATAATCCAGTTAGTCTACCCGGCGCCGAATATGTCCATGGTTGGCAACAATGAATTTAAAATTCGCTCTCCATTACGTAACTAAAATTTTAATTGCTGGCGCTTATAGATTTCTGTAACATGAACAATTTAAATATATTTTTTTTAAATGTTTTAGATATGCGCATTTACTCGAAAAATATACATAGTATACAGGGTGGTTTGAACTGTATTTCAAAAACTTCGACAGCATATTCTGCAGATAAAAATAGGTAAAAAAGTTCGTATAAATGTATTTCCTAAAATGCTTAGTTTCGGAGATACAGGGTGTAGAAATTTCATTTTTATTTCGATTTTTACCAAATAATTTCAGGAGTAACATCAATATGGGGGTGAAAATTGGTGTCTGGGAGTTTTTTGACATGCGAAATTTCATGTTGAAGTCAACGTGGCTCCTATTTGTAGAAGGCGCCAGCTACATGTGTTTTAACTGTTTTAAAGAGCAATAAGTTTTCGTCCGTACCTGTATAATACTTCATACATTTCCGTGATCTTTTACGTAAAAAATGTCTCTTTGTGAAAATTGCTACGAGCAACCGTTCTCAAGATATTTAGAATGCAAATAGTCAATACACGTCATTATTGACCAAAAAATAAACATTGATTAGATAATTATTTGACTGAAATGATAAATTCGGGAACTTTTTATTTTTTTAAATTAATCATAAATTTTTCTTCGAAAAAATGATGATAAAACAGTTTCTATTGAACTTTTGGCACAAAAACACTGCAAATTTATGATTTCTGTCTAATAACTACTTAGTCAACATGTTTAATTTATGTCAATGATGACAGATATTGATAAATTCGATTCCAAATATCTCAAGAACCATTACTCGTAGCCCCCGACTTTTAGCAAGATACATTATTAAATAACGTTTTGGTAATGGCGTAAATGTATATTTTTTTTACTCAGTAGTTTTATACAGGTATGGACGAAAATTTATTATTCTTCAAACGAGTTAAAAATATGTAGCTGGTGCCCTTTACAAATAGGAGTCATGTTGACATCAAAATCAATTTCTCATGTCAAAAAACTCCCAGACACCAATTTACATCCAAATTTATTGAAATTTGTCATTTCCCGTATTTGGAAAAAATCGAAATAAAAATGAAAATACAATATACACCCTATATCTCCGAAACTAAGCATTTCAGAGCATACATTTATAGGAAATTGTTTACTTATTTTTATTAGCAGAATATGACGCCGAAATTTCCGGAATACAGTTAGGACCACCCTGTACAATACTAATAATTTCAAGATGTCAAATTAACATTCTTATAATTTAATTATTTTTTTTGTAGCTTTTATGAAAAGAGCTTATGAATTGTTTAAACAATACAAAACCGATGTAGCTAAAGCTTACGCTGGTCCATATTTGTACACACTGCTGGCAAATCCTAATGATGTAGAGGTATTTTTAATATGGTAATCGCAAAACAATTTCCGATGCACGTGATCAACTTTGAGTGACAAGCGATGGCGACAGCGCTGCCAGATTGTGATGGATTTATGAGATGAATCTTAATTTAAAAGTGACAAACAATATATTTATTATATCATTTTTTAAATATTTTTACGTTTTATTTTTAATTTAATAACTAATATTTTAGTAATTAATTGATTTATTTGTTTTATAGCTTATTTTTCTTATTACATATTGGCAAAAACTAGACAATTATGAAGATTATTCTAAGCGTTATTATGGGTTATTTATTTATTGATGTATATCTTACAGCGCGCCATAAATGGTAATAGCAAGTAAGAGGGAATGCACAAACTAATAATCACAGAATATAATAAAAACTAAATTAGAAATAACTTTGAAAGTGGTGTAATGTGCTTATCAGTCAAACTTACTTCTCTGACTGCAGTCAAGGGTAATAAAATAAAGGACCTTTATTGTCACGTTCTCGTTCAAAATAGTTTATCAGGGAACCTACAAGCTCTTTGCTTCGACTGTTTAAATGCTTCGGCACATTTTCAACACACAATTTCAAGAAATTCAATACAAAAACTCGAAAATTTAGTTCTGAAATGAACTGTTTGTGTTTTTAAAGTACAATTTAAAAAAAAAAACTATGAAAATAGGCAAAAAAAAACGAGAATTACTCACGAAGATTCAATAACAACACAATATTACACAAAATAATGACTGACATTAGGATAATTGTCAAATAAGAAACGACAACCTTGCTGAAAACGGCGCAATGTGCATGACCAACATAGAAATAATAAAATTCGGTTTAATCTAATTTTTGCAGCTTTAATCTAAACCATCTCTTATAATCATTTGTTCTATAAAGTCAAATGAAGAGCTGCTTGGTATCTTAAATTATACAACAAATTTAAATATTTTTGTCAAAATTTCATTTAATCAGGTTTATAGACTTTATGCCAATGTCGATATGATTGATGATGTGCATCGGAAAATGTTTTGCTATTACAATACCTATTTTTTCTCTTTTCATTTGTAACCTTGTGTTTTAGTTAATTTTAGGGAGTCAACAACATTTAGAAAAATCATGGGAGTACAGATTATTTGAGCCATGGCTGGGCGATGGTCTCTTAATAAGCAAAGGTTCGTTGTGGCTTTTTTAATTTAAAATTTTCTATGTATATTAACTATATCGTAGGCGAGAGATGGCGGAGTCACAGAAAAATGATAGCCCCAACGTTCCACTCATCAATATTAAAATCTTTTTTCCCGGTTTTCAATAAAAATGCTAACCGACTGCTGGAAAAATTGGAAAAGGAAAAAGGGAAACTGTTTGATTGTCACGATTACATGAGTGGTGCTACAGTGGACACGCTTCTAGGTATAAAAATGGAGAAAATGGAAAAATGCATTATCTCGTTATAGCATTTTAGGTTTATTTGGAATAAAAAACAGTGTTTTTCATTCAAATATGCATCTATCGCACATATTTGAAAAAAAATCTTCTCATTCAAAAAAAGTTTTAATGAACCACAACATTTTCGTTAAAACAATTTTTAACAGTACAGGAAAGAAAAAAACTGTACTAAATATTGTAATAATAATTTTTAGCATGTATAAATTAAAAAATTATCACTTATAATATCACAAAAGCTTAAATTATTTTCGGAAATTTTTTTGAGGGCACGAATAATTTTCCTAAAATATTCGTGCCCGAAAGAAAATTTCCAGGAATAATTTAAGCTTGCGTGGTATTCGGTAAGAAAATTTCACACCTAAATTTGAAAAAAAAATATTAATCCAACATGACATTTTAAAATAATTTCAATTTGTTAAGTTGGCCAAGGTATTGATGTTTTTGACATATTATGTGTTTTGTCATTTTAACTATTTTTTAATTTTTTTTTTATATCTAACATATTTCCTTAAATAAAATATATTACCAACCTTAGTTACATCAAATGCTAAAACTCAAATGGGTAATATTTCAATATATAGACATTGTAGTTCATTCACATTATGATTGTAGATCTTATGTTATATTACCTTTTCAACTGTCAAAAAATTTCCACTAAAGTTTCTTGGCGCCTCGAAAAAATTTCCGGAAATTTTTTCAGTTGCCATGGTAACTAGTCAACATTAAAGCATGTTATTGGTTGAAAAGTAGAGGTGTGAAATTTTCTCTTAAAAAATCACCTAACTTAAGACAAATAAATAATAATAAATAATTTAAATATAATTAACTTACACTCATTGTTCATAAATTTGATTAGTAGATATACTCTTTATCTCCATAAATTAGTTATATACTTTACCATTTTTAGTGTCCTCTAATTATTTTTATTTTTATTTTCTTGATTTATTTCCTTGTTTTTATTTTTATTTGCAACCTAAAAAGCTGAAAATAAATTAAACTGCGTCTTTTTGATGTGTAGATTTTCTCTGGACTTGTTCAACTCATATTTATTAATTTCTCTAAGAATATTTTTTCTAAACCTTTTCTTTACTAGTCTATAAGTCCAAACTATGCCAGTTACCATTGCTGCTGCTATTTTAATTACTTATTTTGTTTTGCTTCTTTGCTTTTCATATGCGTAGCCCATATTTATAAAATCTTCATAATTTCTTTACAATATGCTGCCTCCTTTTGCTCCTGTTTTCTGTTTTGGCAAGATGTGTAATACTTTTATAATGTATTGTTAGAGATGATATCTTTATTAATGTCGTTGATAACAGGCATTGACCGATAAACGGGTTATTGGTTCTGCTGGGTATGCAATGGTTGCTTATTTCCTATTGCTACATAGATGTAACATACCTACAATTAATATTATATACAGGGTGGTTTATACCATCATATTACAAGACATTTTCTATTTTAAAATCAATTCAAAGCAATCAAATTCGTATTAAGATTGGAAACAAAAACTAGAGATGCGCGAAAAAACGGTTGATGTCAAAGCAATCAACCCCATTCTTGAAAATTTGTATCGATTATTGATAGTCAGTTATTATTTATTATAGGTAGCGACTAGAGTAGCTTTATGTTTTTTGTTAAATATAATGTAAAATATTTGTGTTTAAATATTATTGTTTCTGAAATTTTATAATGAATAAATCACCGTAATTATGGAGATGATTCAGTGTCCTTAACAATTTCTCAACTTCTATCAACGTGCTTTTACCGACAATGATAACATAATACACCATGACTTTGAGTGTGATATTTCTAAGTGTGATTCTCACTAGTGACTGCTAATAGTTATTAGTTTAAAAGTCGACAAATTTCTTTAAAATACGATATCACTGTAACTGTTAAAATTTACTGGATATCCCTTTTTTACAGTAACAGATACATAAATTAATTAAAAACTAATTTTAAATTTTAGAAACTGCAATGGGTGTAGAAAAAACTGATAAAGATAATACTGGATTTGCATATGCCAAAGCAGTAATGGAGTATGTAAACATTTTCGTACTATTTATATAATATAGGTTTACTACTTTAAACTTTTCAGCATGTGCAATATTCTACATATCAGACATTATAAAGTTTGGTTAAGGCCAGAATTCATTTTCAAATGGACTAAAATGGCAGGAATACAGTCGAGCTTACTAAATTTAATTCATAGCTTAACTAGAGAAGTAAGTAAAGAAATGGATTTATTTTATAAGACAAAACATACTTTTGAAGCGAATTTATCTATTGTTTTGTAATATCATATGATTTTTTGACTTGTGTATATACAGCTGTATTCACCATTGTCGTTTCAAACAAGAAATCTTTTAGAACAAAATCATTAATATATCGCCACACCTTAAAACAACTCAAAGTGTTTATTTCATACAAAAACTACTGTTCTAATAAGACCATCGCTCTCTTGGTCTTGAAAAGTCTTGGTATTCCAAGATCCAGTCCTGGTCTTGCAGAGACCAGTCTTTGTCTTGGTCTTGCTGCAAGACTCTTGTATGTCATGTATGAATAAGTATACAGGGTTGTTCACCACATACGACACGGAGTATTGTAGCTAAACGATGAGATCTTTACAAATTGTAAGTTTTGGGTTCGATGAAGGACTTTAGAGGTACAATTTAAAAATTATTTTACATGATACAGAGTGTCCCAAATAAGTAAAAAATATCTAAGTTGTATTTTTTTAAATGGAACACCCTGTATATTATTACATTTTTAGTTTCTACGATTAAAATAAAGGTAAATTTGATTAAGGTTTATGATACTTAAACCTTACCGTTTTTGAAATATTTTCAATTTTGTGAAATTGCAGTAAAAATTTTAAGGCTTCATTTCTCCAAGGGTATCAAAATTTTTAATACTAAATATTTACTGAAGTTTATTTATTGATCAGTTATTGTGTTGCAATAATAAAAATAATACTACCTTATACAGAGTGTCTAAAAATTTATTTTAAATAATTATTAGCTTCAAACGGCAATAACTTGTTTAATTTAAATGGAACGCCCTGTATATTTTAGGAGAATCAGATGCACAATTTAATTGTCTATCAAATTGTGTTATACCATTTTTTACCTATCCCTTCAAGTTTTCGTAGAAAATGCATTTTCTTATAATTTAGACCTCATTTATCAATATCATCATAATCAATCATACCTATGGAATATTGACATTTGAGATTGTTTTTAAAGATGTACCAAATTTTTAAAGAGTACAGATACTAATATTGTCGATATAATTCGTTTATTTCATTAAAAAAAATTAAAAAAACTGTTTAAATATTTGTTAAAGAGGACCAATTAATATGATTCCAGTATTCAAACTACATGAACTGACTGTTTGCGTTGATTAATAATAATTGCTACAAATACTAAAAAACTGAATTTTGTATGGGTATTAGACAGTGTGATAAAAAGTAACACCTTAAAAATGATATTTCATTTTTTAATAAATGCTTATTTGTAACAACAGAGACTTTAATTGTGATAACTTATTATTATATTGATTTCTGACTCAAATCCACATTTATTTAGAATAATTTATTAACGAACACAATTAAGTATGTAATTAATTAGTATATGGGCGGAAATAATGGTGTTATATTTAATTAATGGTATACCCTTTTATAAAGATTTAAATAGTTTTCTTTTTGCATACAAATGGGCTAGTAATATTATCGTTTTGCTAAAAACGATAATATTACTAGCCTGTACATTTTGTACATTTGTTGCTTTAAAAACAATTTCAAATGTCAATATTCCATGGGTATATCGATAAATGAGGTCTAAATTATAAGAAAATGCATTTTCTACGAAAACTTGTAGGGATAGGTAAAAAATGGTATAACACAATTTGATAGACAATTAAATTGTGCATCTGATTCTCCTAAAATATACAGGGCGTTCCATTTAAATTAAACAAGTTATTGCCGTTTGAAGCTAATAATTATTTAAAATAAATTTTTAGACACTCTGTATAAGGTAGTATTATTTTTATTATTGCAACACAATAACTGATCAATAAATAAACTTCAGTAAATATTTAGTATTAAAAATTTTGATACCCTTGGAGAAATGAAGCCTTAAAATTTTTACTGCAATTACACAAAATTGAAAATATTTCAAAAACGGTAAGGTTTAAGTATAATAAACCTTCATCAAATTTACCTTTATTTTAATCGTAGAAACTAAAAATGTAATAATATACAGGGTGTTCCATTTAAAAAAATACAACTTTGATATTTTTTACTTATTTGGGATACTCTGTATCTTGTAAAATTATTTTTAAATTGTACCTCTAATAGTCCTACATCGAACCCAAAACTTGAAATTTGTAAAAATATAATGGTTTAGCTCCAATACTCCGTGTCGTATGTGGTGAACAACCCTGTATAAGTATCTCTTGTATGAATAAGATTCAAGAGTACGCCGCACACCACGATTATCGTAAATTCTTCGAGGCTGTAGAAGCATACGGTCCAACACAGAAGGTAAGTTGCCCAATCAAGGCACAAAATGGTAAACTTCTAAAAGAGGAAAAGCAAATCAGAAACCGCTGAAAAGAGCATTACAGCCATATATATCCTTAACCAAGAAAACAACCAACAATTAGATATCCCAATAACATAACAGGAAATAAAGGCTTCCATAAAACAGTTTGAAAACAACAAATCAGCCGACCGTGATCAGCAGAACACTTTAGATAATTAAAGATACAACTAAGATTGAAAAAGGGACGTTCATAATGACTTGGAAATGAAGATACACAATTTGTTTCTAAGCCATCTCTGACACAGTTTTTATTCGATCTATGATTTTATTTACTTTTACTATAGGTTATTAAACGGAAAAAAATAGACTACTACGAAAGGGTGTCCAAAGGTGAACAAAGCTTATATAAGGAGGCTGTGAAAGAGGAAGAGAAAGCTTTGAAAAATAAGAACACAGAAAATTATAAATACATTCACGACGACTTGGAAGATATAGAAGAGAACGACATTGGTATTACCATGAAAAAAAGACAATATCAAATTAAATATTAAACAAACATCTATTATTTTAGGAGAAAAGAAAAGATTAGCTTTCCTAGATTTCATGATCGAAGCCAGTCAGACATCAGGGAACAAATTGTCAGATGAAGATATTAAGGAGGAAGTTGACACCATTATGTTTGAAGTATTTGTTTTTTATTTCATTTGGTAAATTCAATATTAATATTTTTTTCTTTAAGGGACATGACACCACTGCTGCTGCATCAAGCTTTGTCCTCTGTCTTCTTGGAGTTCACAAAAATATTCAAAAAGAATGCATAAAAGAATTAAAAGAGATTTACCATGATAATTGGGAGAGACCTATTACGTTTGCTGACACCCTCCAAATGAAGTACCTCGAAAGAGTCATTATGGAGACTTTAAGGTTGTATCCACCAGTACCTATAATTGCTAGAAAAGTACACCAGGATGTAAAGTTAGGTAAAAAATATATTTTATTTTTGTATGTACCGGATGGCCAACTAAGAATGGACCTCGGATAGCTTAGAAACTGGTTTTTGTATAACTTTAACAAAAAAAGTAAATAAATTGATCAAGAGAAATCGCTGAAATGTATTCTTAATTACGAAAAATGTCAGATAGTTAGCATCTGTTATGGAAAATCAGAAAACTGGATTTTTTCATAAATATGCTCGTAAAGATATATTTTAAATATTGGAATTTTAATTAATGGGGAAATTATAATTTGTATATCTACTTCTTGGTGAAGTTTTGTAAACTTTATCTTTAATATATCTTCATAAAAATATTCCAGACTAGATAAATCAGTAGCATTAAATCATTCTATTAATTGGTACATACACTGCATTCACGAATTAATAGAATCATATCAATTCTCTCTGCTATAGGATTATTTTCATTTTCAGAAAATTTCCGAAATTTTTTTTTATTTCAACTGATACAATAACTACATTTGTTAAGGTTGAACTAATTTGACAGTTATGTTGAAGTGACGTCAGGCATATCACAGCTACCCAGATTTAATCAAATAATAAAGGTCTACTGACACTAAATCATAAAAATGAGAGTATCTAAGAAAATATTTGTCTGAGGGGTTTTAAACCATAGTAATATTTTAAATAGTTAGTTATAATGGCTATTTTAACTATACAGGGTGGTCCGAACTGTATGCCGAAAACATCGGCAGTATCTTCTGCAGATAAAAATAAATAAAAAAGTTCATATAAATGTATGTCTTAAAATGCTTAGTTTCAGAGATACAGGGTGTAGAAATTTCATTTTTATTTTGATTTTTTCCTAATAATTTCTGAACTAACGTCAATATTTGTATGAAAATTGGTGTCTCGGATTTTTTTGACATGAGAAATTTGATTTTGATGTCAATATGACTCCTAATTGTAGAAATAGTCAATACATGACATTATTGACAAAAGATAAAACGTTGAGTAAATATAGTTATTTGACTGAAATAATAAATTTGGGAAATTTTTATTTTTTTATATTAATTATAAATTTTTCTGCGAAAAAATTATGATAAAATAGTTTCTGTTGAATATTTGACACAAGAACAATTCAAATTTATGATTTTAATCTAATAATTATTTAGGTTAATTTATGTTTAATTTATGTCAATGATGACAGGTATTGATAATTTCGATTCCAAATATCTCGAAAACCATTACTCGTAACGATTTTTACCAAGATACCTTTTTTACGTAAAAAACATCGTAAATCTATTTTTTTTACTTAGTAGTTTTATACAGGCACAGACGAAAAGTTATTACTCTTCAAAACAGTTAAAAAAGAGATAGGCGGCGTTCCTACAAGTAGGGGTCACATTGACATCGAAATCAAATTTCTCATATTAAAAAACCCTCAGATATTAATTTTCGTTCAAATACCGAATTTAGTTCAGAAATTATTAGGAAAAAATCGAAATAAAAATCTTCTACACCCTGTATCTACGAAACTAAGATTTTCGGACATAATTTATACGAACTTTTTTACTTATTTTTATGTCCAGAATATGCACCGAAATTTCCGGAATTCAGTTCGGACCACCCTGTTTATTAAGATATACTAGGCGAACTCCAATTTATGTAGCTTTTATTGAAATTTAAAATATATTCTTTATTTTCGCAAAATTTGATATATCTCAACAACCTTACATTTTAAGCATTAAATCTGTGTATTATATTACAAAAAAAAGATAATTTTGATTTGTAACTTTTTTGGGACATCCTTTTGCGAAATACTTTAAATTAACTTACATGCTCATAAAATTTAATTTCAATACAAGCTGTCATTCTCCTTGAAAGCTTTGGCCACAGTTTTATTGACAAAAACCGTTAAAATTTGTATTTAGATGAATGTTCCAGTTCATAAACCAAAAAATAAATAAAGTCTTTAACACTGTAACTGTATATCATAACATTTTTAGTAAGCGCTGATTATACAATTCCGGCTGGTACTAGTGTGGTAGTATCCCAATACGTTACTCACAGACATCCCCAATTTTGGAAAGAACCAGAAGTATTTAATCCAGACAACTTTTTGCCGGAAAACTGTGCAAACAGGCATTACTACTCATACTTTCCTTTTAGCGCTGGCCCTAGGAGTTGCGTGGGTAAGTCTAAAACTTTATCGACTACAAACAAAAATAAGTTAACTAAAGTTGTTAATTTCTTTTTGTTATGCCTTAAAATGTCAACGGGCTATCAAGATGTTTTCCAGGTTTTCGCTTATTCACTTAGAAAAGCCACTTGACTTTTCCTAGTTGTGGCACTTTTTCATGTTTGGTCAATATTTGGACGGAGAATGACACAATATTTAACGATCATATCAAAATTAAATATAATTAGGAACTTAGGAAGACAAATTGCTTTTTTAAAATATCTACTAAATAAATCCTTTTCTGATATCTAAGTGGCTCGACGTTGACATAAATAAAATTAAGGCTGTACTTAAACTGCCGTTAAACGGTAGCTTACTAAAATGCCGTTAATAGGTATGACGTCGTTGATGTGACGCACTTTACGGCTTTATGAAATATAGGAATTTTATAAGGACTAACCAACGCTATCCACCCCACCAAATAACCAACTTAACCAACGTAACTAACCTCGACACTAATAAAAAATTTAAAAAACAAATATAAATTAGTAAAAATCAACCAACCCCACCAAATAACCAACTAACCAATGAATTAACACCCTCCAGATAACCACGCTAACCAACCCGCCAAATAACTAAACCAATCCAACCAAAAAGAGTGAAACCAATGCAATAAGATCACGCTATAAGCAAAAAAAATATAAAAAAGTCTTGGTCGACGTGAGATTTGAACCACGGACCATTCGCTTACGAAGCGATAGCCTCAGCCACTGACCCACAGGAGCTCTTGCAAAATGCTTAAGGCGCATTACTTTGCGCCGACATGAAAGACGTCACAATATCTATTAACGGCATTTTAGTAGGCTACCGTTTAACGGCTGTTTAAGTACATCGTAAAATTAAAGCATGGATATCTCACATCATTTTGCACCAAATTTAAATTTATGTCAATATTGCCAATGTTTCCTCGAGTAAATAAAATAGTATCCAAAACATGCATAAGCGGATGTAGAATGTAGAATGAGTGAGTGAGTGAGTGGGGGATTAATTACTGCGACCTTAAAGATTTATTGTACCCCCCTTCCTTGAGTTATAACTCATCACACAGTCTATAACCCATCATACCCCTGTTTTAGAAGAGACAGGGTATTTGCAATCCTCCTCTGACTACAGATGTTCTTCCTCCGAGGGTACATACCCTTCCACGGTGCCCTCTACAGTCGAGGAGCTTGCCTCCGGCTGAGGCACCCGTGAAGTGTAAGCTGGAGGATCTGTCTCCATTTTCTCCACCTCTTTAACTTGGTCTCTCCTTAGACCTGATACCGGTGTTCTCTATAATAGAGGATATGTCCCTCTTTCTCTATTGCCTCCTTGGATTTGAGGAAACCTAACCATGACCCTAGGATATAGCTTTGAATAAGAAGACTAAGGAAGGAGCATAATGCTATCCATGTATTCATGCATGGTGGGCGGAAAAAGCACTCTAGGGTGGGGATCCTTGACAGTTCTGTTTGACGATTCATTTGACACATTTGAATTTGATTTGAAATTTTGTGGATTTGTCAGTCTTTACGGAGCTTATTTTATGTTATTTATTATTTATTCTACTACTGATAGTTGTTTGAAGGTAGTAAATCTAGATGGAAATTGTGGCAGAACTTAAATTAACAGTGACACTATCGCGATTTATCGAAAAAGACTCTAAAATAGTTGGTTGTGTAGCGTGCGGTAGATCTCGGCAAAAATTGAGTGAAATAATGGAACAACTTTTCGCTAGTAAGTGACTATATAATATACATACGTGTAGTAAACCGATCATTTATGAAATTCACTTAAATGAACTAAATTATATATTTTTCTTGCATTTTAGCTTTTATTTATTACTTGTCAAAGATTAGATGTCAAAGAATTTAACTTACCTGCTTCAGTAGCGTATCGGATATTTGTGTTAATAAATACTTATTATAACTTATCTATTTTTATTAGAATTATATATTTTTATAACAATTTTAATAACTACCAACATTTATTCACAACGTAAAATAAAACAACAAATTATTGAGTCTACCCCACGTCTACCCTACATCAGAGCTTTACATTTTTTAAATAAAATTAGAACGACACTGATAAACCGGAACTTAAGTCGGCCATATTTGAGGCCCATCGCGGTGTACCTAAGATTTTTGATATGCTTCTTCCTTAGTCTTCTTATTCAAAGCTATATAGAGATAAGGATAGTTCGATTCCTATCTTCGAGCACTGTCAGTTTTTTTACGTCATCTAGGGACCGAGTTGAAGTTCGCGCTACAGATTTTAGACAGTGACGGTTGTTATTTTTGCGTTTGATGGACGAGCGCACAGTGCGACGGAAGATAAATCTAGCGGGACAAAACAGTTTGGTTATAAATAAGCCAAAAAATGTGTACCGATAAGAATAAATAGTAGAAATTCCAATTGATATAAAAATGCATGAATATTCTTTGTATTTCAATACATTTTTATCAACCAAATTTGATCGTTTTCTGGTCAGCAAGACAGAGGTCATACGAAAACAAAATATTTATAAGTGCTTATACATTTTATTCCACAGCCAAATTATGTTGAAGATTGCCAAAGGTATGTACTTTTATACTGTACGTACATTATTTGTTAAAATCCTTCGTGCCTTTGTTCTGCAGATACCAAACTTTTTTTCAAATATTGATATATTGAATGATGTAGATCTTTAGAATTACCAATAATTGGCCTTGTTATTACGGTGGTTACGCTACGACGGCGACGATTTGACGCGATCGAACAGTCCTTTAGAATATACATATACAGTCCTTGACCATGACCGTCCTCCCTCGAGTTGATGACTCGCCAACTCGATGGCATTACATTGAAATTCTGACCCTGGATAAGGCTCAGCAGGTAGGTGGTGTCTTTCCCCTTGCTCCTCGGCAGAAAGACCTTGATGGCCCTCCTTTAGGGATGTTTTCTCTCTTCACTGCAACCAGTTCCGGCCCTTGCCAATTTTTAAGCTTATGTGCGATTTTCACCAACCTGACATTGACTAGCGAACGTTCCTGTTACAAAGCGTTACATAACAACAATGTTTATAGAATTATGTATATATTTTTTTAAAGTTTAGAAAAATACAATTCTATCATAATTACATAATTTACTTTCAGGTCGCAAATACGCCATGCTGAAGCTGAAAGTAATATTGGCCAGTGTTTTAAGAAAATTCGAAATCACGTCTCCCCAAGTTGAAGCCGACTTTCAGCTTCAATCCGATATCATTTTGAAGAGGACCGACGGATTCAAAATTAGAATTCAAGACAGAATAATGGCATAAGATAATTTAGAGTTTAAATTATTATTACTTTAGTTAAAATTGACTGTGTATACATTGTGCGTAGAATAAATTTAATTTAAAACTAATAAAACACTACAAGATTTCTAGTTTTTGTCTTAATGGATAATTAAAATAGTATAAGCATTCTTTTATTTTAGTAGAAAAGGAAAATCATCCTTCCAGTATTCACGCCGTTATACAGGGTGGCGCGAATTGTATTCGAAAAACTTCGGCAGGATATTCTACAGAAAAAAAATGAGCAATAAGTTCATAGTAGAATGAATTAGAATGAATGAGTGGGAGGGGGGTTAATCACTGCGACCTTACAGATCCATTGTGTCCCCCTTTCTTGAGTCATAACTCATCATACAGTCCCAGGGCTTTGACAAAAGCCAGTATCTGGGACGGTTTTATAGAGGATAGTTCTCCATCTCCAATATCAGTCGTACCAAAATTCATGGCACGAATGGTTGTCGTCTCGGCACACTTAGTGATGAGGTGTACTGGTGTTTCCCCATCTTCCCCACAAAATCTGCATTCGCCGTTTCTTCTTAGTTTCAATCTACTGAGGTGTTCATTGAGGAGACAGTGTCCCGTGTTCATTGAGGAGACAGTGTTAAAAACCCCGTGACAATCCGAAGATTGTTCTTACTTAAACCCAGGAAGATCTGTGATTTTTCTTGATCATAAGCCCTCAGAAACTTCTTCGAGTGTCTTATACCGTTGCAAGATTTCCATTCCAGGTTGCGGATGGAATATTCCAAGTTCTTGAGTTCCGCCTTGAGTTGGTTACCACTTGGAAAGCAGAACGGTTCTGGTCCAGTTAGCGGAGTGTTCGCTCCTTTCCTAGCTAGATTATTTGCTTTTTCATTGCCTTCTATCCCTTGGTGAGCAAGCACCCAGAGTAGGAGGACTTTGTTTTCTTTGCCTAATTCATTCAGCTTCAAGTTTGTAGTAAATGTATGTTCTAAAATGTTAAGTTTTGGAGAAACAGGGTGGAACATGTGGTCAATAATTTAAAAATATATGAAGTGCCCAAATTTACCATTTCAGGCAAATAACTATCTAATCAACATGTTTATTTTTTTGTCAATAATGGCACGTATTAAGTTATCCCATTCTAAATCTCTCTCTCTCTGTCTTTATTCCAACAAGAGGAATGTAGTGGTCAGGTGATGTGTGAGGTTTGTCTCCATAATTCCCTGTCTTGTGCTTCATCTACAAGCGTGTGCAGTGGCTTGTGGGTGATCTTTAATAGCTGGTCTATCCATCAGGAGGGCGAGCGGCCTCTTGGTCTTCTTCCCGGAACCTTGCTCTGTATAATGAGCTTTTCCATACAGTCAGCATCCCTCCTCATAACGTGACCGAAATATTTAAGTATACGTGACTGTATAGAAGTTGAGAGGCGTTCTGTGATGTTCAGTTCTTGGATTATGGATTCATCCATTCTAAATATCTAGTGATTTTTACCAAAAGCCCTTTTTTACCTAGAAAATTACGAAAATGTAGTTGATTCAGTAGTTTTATACAGGTACGGACAAAAATTATTATTGTTCGAGACAGTTAAAAAACATGTAGGTGAGGCCCACTACAAGTAGAAGTCCTATTGATATCGAAATCAAATTTCTTATGTCAAAAAACACTCTGACGCAAATTATTAATACCTCCAAATACCTGCTATGCTTATACTGCATTATTTGAAAAAAAAAGCGAAATAAAAATGAAAGTTCTACACTCTGTATCTCCGAAACTAAGAATTTTAGAACATAAATTTATACGAATTTTTTACCTTATTTGTATTTGCAGAATATGCTGACGAAGTTTTACGAATACAATTCGAGACCACTCTGTAGATATTTTTTTAAATTTTCTGCCTAAACAGTTCGATAAAACGAGACAAAAGTTATAGAGATAAGGAAAATTAATTTTTGATTTAAAGAAGTTACAATCAACATTAATAAAAACTGCAAATTTTAAAAGAAAACATTAGATATGATCAAAGATATGATACATTTAAATTTTATCAGCCGCTGCTTGGAGTATAATGTATAAAGAATGTAAAAAAATAGTGTATCTAACTTTGGTGGGTAATTCTATAGATAAAAAAACACTATGAACGTATGCCATAAGATTCTTCAGGAAGAAGTTACAGCACTCGGAAGATTATATAAGAATAATATGTTTCGTTTATTTTTAAGAACATTGAAAATCCTTTTTTTTTTCCTGAAATTTGGTACTCTTATACACATTTTAATACCACAGGGAATGGCGATTCTGAAAAATTCTTTAACAGCCCTGAAAAGGCACTTTCCGTTAGGGTTGAAAGTACTACCGGTGGTACTTCGATGCATCGAAACTTTTAAACGCAAATATCTTGAAAATCGTTCACCGTTTTGAACTAAACGGAGCACATTTTTTACATAAAAAAGTCTTAGCTATAATTCTCATTTGTTGAAATGACTGTATCTACACACACCGGAAAAATCTAGGGATATCATTTTATTAAAGTTAAAAATATATGTTTTGCATAAACAACCACATATTTGTAGGCCGATTCTTTCTACTTCGATTGAAACGAAGTAGTCACACTAGTTATTTCTAAATTTGGGATATTTGCAGAAGTGTTTGTGCATTTTTTGTCAAATGTATAAAAAGCACCTAGCATCAATTGTTCGAATTTAACCTGTACTGGCTGTGTTTTTATGATAACTGGTCAGAATTCATTCAAATAACTCTGTTTAGTATTAAAAGACATTATGGAGCGTAGACATCTTAACAGAGACGAAATGCTATGGGCCATGGGTATGCTCGAAGCTGGAATGCGCCAAATCGACGTAGCTCTTAAATACGAGCATTAAATACAACGCAAAGTGTAATATCACGATTAAGTGCACGCTACACAGTGCTTCGAACATATGGCTCTAGAGGACAAAAATGCAAAACTTCTCTTTTATTGTAGGCAATTTATTCAAACTAGGTTTATTTGACACAAATGATGAGTACTCTCATTGTACTAAATGATGATGTTCTTAGTCCCACGTTTATGAAAAAAAATCTTATAAATAATAAAAATGTTGGAGCTGTGTTCCATCTAAGGAAATAATAATTTATAGTATGAAAACGGTGTAAGTATTAAATAAATCCCTGTGATAAAAAAGAATTCGAATAACATTAGAACATGATTCCTACAATATAAACCTAATATAAGATAAAAATGTTTTTCTTTAATGAAAAAGAAACATTAATGTTATATTTAATTAAAAAAAGACTTAAGATACTATAAATTTACTTTAGGACAACAAAATGCATAGATCGTAACTACTCCGATTCAGAAGAATCATTGCTGACAGAACCTTCCAAATTTATAGTATCCAAATCACAGGTAGATGAAATATCCTAACATATAAGATATCTCTGTACATCATTTTCTAATATCCTACTTTTTCGCGTTGTTACTGTTCTTGGTATGACGGGTTCGGATGTTAATAGTTACCTCTTTAATAGACCATATCCATATATTATTTTTTCGTTTTCTTGGGTATGAGGTTTTATAATAAATTGAAAGATGGAAACATTTTTTATGCCACATTTCGCTCCAACATAGTGGGCTCAGGCACAAGTGGTTATCAAATTGTACTGGAAAGTTCATCAATATCTAATAAAGAATACATTTTTTGAAATATAAATAATTTTGAGTTCTTGTCCTTATGATTAAGCCAAGTATTAACCAGATCGGCATTGCTTATCAATTTTACTCCATCTGGAAAGTATTAAAAAATAAAGTTCGTCGCAAGCGGACGCAGGTGAACTATACAAAAATTAAAAGTGTATGAATATGGCAACAAAAATATTCAATAAATACGATATGTTTTGATATGTTTTTTTTAATGACTTTTTGAAGTTTGAAAACGTAAAATTTTAATACCCATTTAAGAATCATCTTAAATAATAAATAAAAACTAAACAATCACGAACTTGTTTAGAAATAAATTTAAAGTACATACCTTGTTTAACAATATCCATAGTGGCTTTCAATTAAGTACGTACCGTTTAACTCCATATACAGAACTACTATGAATGTTATTCTTTTCACTGATATAAGATAATGATCGGAAAATTTATTTTTAGTGAAAATATTTGCTAACAAAAAACGCTGTTTATGAAAAATAATATACAGGATGGTTGAACATTGCTATAAGTATAAAATTGCATATTCAGATATTAGTAAATTTTACCTTTTTTTTCGATTTTTGTCCATGGGACGAAGCACTGTGCGCTACCGTGAAAGTGGTGATGTTGCTGAAAGGCACACAGGGCGACATCGCATTACTCAGCAAGATCATTTTTTACAATTAAATGCTCGACGCCGACCGACTCTTACAGCACCAGAGCTTAGTTTAATTCTCCAGGAAACACATAATGTAACCGTTAGTCCTGACACTGTTCGTAATAGATTAAGAGAGGTCAACTTAAGAAGCAGACGCCCCTGGAGAGCTCAACCCTTAATGAGAGGAAATCGAGAGGTACGATATTTGTGGGCTCAAGATCATGTTCGGTGGTCGAATGAACAATGGGCCAATGTTCTCTTCACGGATGAGTCACGCTTTGGAATTCATCCGGATTCGAGAAGGCTTAGGGTATGGAGAGAACCGGGAAATCTTATTCGGTTGGATCATGTTCAGGAAGTGCACCCTTATCAAGGTGGAACAGTTATGGTCTGGGGAGGAGTCCAGTTAGGCCAAAAAACCGATCTCGTTTTTCTTGAAAGGTTTCTAACAGGAATCACATATCATGATTTAATTCTTGACTCTGTCGTGTTACCATATGCCAATGATTTTGGGAGAAACTTCATTCTCATGCATGACAATGCCCGGTCTCATACAGCCAGAGTGGTAAGTGAGTTTATCAATGCTCATCAATTAAACATCTTACCCTGGCCGGCACAATCTCCTGACCTCAACCCCATCGAGCACGTATGGGACGCGGTCCAAAGACGAATTTTGAGAAAGGGTATGCCTCGTGAAACTCGTACGGATCTGGTTCGGGCCGTGAATGCAGCGTGGCAGGCTGTACCTCAAGAAGAGAACGACAACCTGATCAGGAACAT